CATCAGATGGGTGATGTGATGATACCGTAACAAGTTTTGAGGAAGGCACATATTATAAAATAGCATGAAAACCCAATCGTCATGCTTTGGTTTTGGTTTTTTAATTTTTCTTGAGGCAGGGTCTTGCTCCATTACTCACACTGGAGGGCAGCGGTGCAAACATGGCTCATTGCAGCCTCGACCTTCTGGGCTCCAGCGATCTTCCCAACTCAGCCTCCCAAAGTGCTAGGATTACAGAAATGAGCCACCACCCCCAGCTGTTCCCTATTTTTTGTTTGTACCTTGTTCTTTTTACTCAAAAATACACCTTTGCAGCTGGGCATGCTGGCTAATGCCTGTAATCTTGAGCATTTGGGAGGCCGAGGCAGGTGGATCACTTGAGGTCAGGAGTCCAAGACGAGCCTGGCCAACATGGTGTAAGACCTTCTTTACTAAAAATACAAAAATGAGCTGGGTGTGGTGGTGTGTGCCTATAATCCCAGTGACTTGGGAAGCTGAAGCAGGAGAGGTGCTTGAACTCTGGAGGCAGAGGTTGCAGTGAGCCAAGTTCATACTACTGCACTCCAGACTTGGTGGCAGAGTGAGACTCTGACTCAAAAAAAAGGAAATATACATACATACATATATATATATACACACACACACACACACACACACACACACACACATATGCACACGTAATACACACATACACACACACATGCACACACACCTTGGAAATCTTTTTATATATCAGCATTTGCTGGTACAATTTAAATTCTATGGTAGATTTCATTTAGATTAATACAATCTAAATACTATTCTATTAAGTTATACAACTAAAAAAAATAGGCAATGCATTTAAATGATTCAAAGTTCAAAAACTATGAAATAGTATAGAACTGAGTCTCCCATATGGCAGCCACTGGCATATGTGTTTATTGAAATCTAAGTGAGGCCGGGTATGGTGGCCTCACTTTGGGAGGCCAAGTCAGGTGGCTCACCTGAGGTCAGGAGTTTGAGAGCAGCCTGATGAACATGGTGAAACCCCATCTCCACTAAAAACACAAAAAGTAGCCAGATGTGGGGGTGAGCCCCTGTAACCCCATCTACTTGGGAAGCTGAGGCAGGAGAACTGCTTGAACCTGGGGGACAGAGGTTGCGGTGGGCCAAGATCACGCAACTTCACTCCAGCCTGGGCAATGGAGCTAGACTCCGTCTCAGAAAAAAAAATCTAAATAAATTAACATTAAACAAAATGAAGGATTTGGTTCTTTGGCTGCCTGGGCCACATTTCAGGTGCTCCGCAGCTGCAGATGGCCCAGAAACATGGTCATCATTGCAAAAAGTTCTATTGGTTGGTGCTGGTGCAGCCTTAAAGCTGCTCCCTGACCCCTCCTGAGAGCCAAGCACTGTTAGGGTTTCTTTGGTGATTCCTTTCCGAGATGATCTATGCACACAATCAGCACTGGAGTTAATATATCCACCTAAAAAAATCGGTGTCTCCCGTGTAGTGTGAATGACCATGTAATAGTCCATGGAATGGAATGTTTTCAGGTAGTTTCGTAATGAAGTGCTGTTGAGTTTTTCCCAGGTTTCCTCTTTTACAATTATTCTGTGGTGAACAGATAATTTGCTGTCTCTCCCTCCCTCTATTCCCTCTTTTTTCCTCTTCCTACCTCTTTTCTTCCCTTCCCCCCCTTCCCCTACCTTTTCTCTCTCCCCCACTTTCCTCTTTCTTTTACAAGGTCTTCTATGCAATGGCATGATCCTTAATCACTGCAGCCTTGAACCTCTGGGCCCAAGCGATCCTCTTGCCTCAGCCTCCCAAGTAGCTGGGGCTAAGGCCTGTGCCACCATGCCCTTCCATTGTTTTTATTTTCTTTTCTTTTTTGTGGAGATGGGTCTTACTAGGTTGTCCAGGCTCATTTTCATCTTAGTAGGTGCTTTTCAAGGGTTCTTATCCAAGGGTAACTGGATGGAGCTTAGTCACTTGAAACCCTTGTCATTGTGTTGAAGTTTTGTGTCTGTCTCCTCCATCCTGGGGAGAAGATTTAAAACTTCTATCCCCTTTTCAAGCAGATCGGTGACTTCAAAAAGGGTATGAATGTTGGGAGGCAAGGCGGGAGGGTCACATGAAGTCAGGAATTTGGGACCAGGCTGTCCAAGAAGGTGAAACCCTGTCTCTACCAAAAATACAAAACTTACCTGGGTGTGGCGGTTCACAGCTGTAGACCCAGCTTCTCAGGAGGCTGAGGCAGGGGAATTGCTTGAATCTGGAAGGTAGATGTTGCAGTGAGTCGAGATCATGCCACTGCACTCCAGTCAGCATACAAATAGCAGCTTTAGACTTGATCCTGCCAAGCATGACCACTGGGCATGTTCAGCAGTGGATGTCCCGATTCTGCCTCAGTTTCCAGTGTCTTCTCAGAGGGCTGGAGTGGAGCATCTGAAGCCGGGGCTGGATGTCTTGCTGCATACATACCCTCTCCACTTCCAACTGTGCCATCAGCCTAGATGGGGAGAAGACCCATGTCTGGGGAGAGCCGTCTTCCTCCTAAGGCCCCACCTGTCTGATGGCTGAGATTTCTGCCTCATTTAGAGAACTTCCAGGGGCCCTTTTATGTCTTGTTATCTGCTAAATGTGCAAGCACAGGATTGCCTGTACCTCCCCTCAGACCTTCCTGCTGCTCCCTGTAGAGCTGTCTGAAGCCTGGAAATGTTTATTTGCCTTTGGAGAAATTCTAGTTCCATCCGCCCCAGACTCATCACAATTACAGTAACAGCCTGCGCTCTGTAACTTTCTGGAGCCTGTTCCAGCAGACAGGAGGTCCCTTCTTCAAGTCCTCTTTGTAACCCCATACAAGATGAGGAAACTGAGGCAGGTGAACTCATGAATACAAAGTGCCAGAGCTTGGGTTCAACCTCGAATCCCTGGGCCCAGGGGTTTGAGGCTTGGGCTCAATCTTAAAGTTTGTGGGATTTAAGGTTGGTGTGGGAAGTGTTCTGTTTGGCACCCCCTGCCCTGGTGTGTGGGGGTTGGGTCCTGGGTTGCCTGGAGAGCCCCAGTTTACGCCTGCTGACCTGACGCATTTGTGATTAATGTTCTCTTTAACTGCAAAGTGCTCTGGTTTGGGAGAGAAATTCTGTGCTCACCCTGTTCACGTGCACCCTGAGGAAGCTCTGACGCCACCGTGCAGCCTCTGATACACACTGGAGAAAGCCGGCTCTAGGATGTGCCTGTCAGCAGGAAGAGCTGCGAGCATCTACATCCAGATGTAGACGTATCTGTACACATACATTCATATACACACATCCGTATATATACACGTCTTTACACACACCCTCACACAAGTCTATAGACACATTCATACACATGCCTACATATAGACACATCCATGTACACATCACTATACACACACACCCATAACCACACATTCATACATATCTGTGTATTTCTGTATATCTGTATACATACACATCTGCACACATCCATGTACAGATACATCTATACACAGATGCATACACATTCGTACACACACATCTGCACACACGTCGGTGGGGATCAGGGAAACACAGCATTAAGTAGTGACAGTCTGGTAATAGCGAGTATTGTTTTGACATCTTTTGGGTGAACAGACTAGCTAGTGGCTGTCAGAGCAGTGTGTGGGGTGTGTCTGCAGGTTGGCGGGACCATCAAACATGGCATTTGTAGTTGCTCATGGCTTTTCTAGAGGATCTCCTGTGTGGGGCCTTGGAGTGTAGTGAGCTCACTCCGTGGCTCACCTGCCAGTGTCTGCACCAGTGACCAACAAAATTCTGGCTTCATGGGCCTCAAGGACTTTGGACTGTACGGTAAGAAACGCTCCTGGGCCATCATTGGACGTGTCTGGTCACCACGCAGAGATCAGTTGCCAGCGGTGGGATGGGAGCCAGGAGGATGTTGCAGTCAGACAGGCTCGATGACCAGGGCTGGAGCTGGTGTGCAGCAGAGGTGGCAGATGGGGTTGACTCTAGTCACATTCCACAGCGATAGTTGACTGAGTTTCTGATGAATCCAAGAGGGGGTTGTCAAGGAGAGAAGAGAAGTCCTTTGTATTTATGTCTGAGTTTATAACACAGGTTTCTAATTTTGAGAAATCCAGAGTTTAAAAATTTGGGGAAGGGCTGGGCATAGTGGTTCACACCTGTAATCCCAGCACTTTGGGAGGCCAAGGCAGGTGGATCACTTGGGCTCAGGAGTTTGAGACCAGCCTCGCCAACATGGCAAAACCCTGTCTTTACTAAAAATAGAAAATTTAGCTGGACACTGTGGTGTGTGTCTGTCATCCCAGCTACTTGGAAGGCTGAGGCAGGAGAATCATTTGAACCCGGGAGGCCAAGGTTGCAGGAGAATCATTTGAACCCAGAAGGCGAAGGTTGCTGTGAACCAGGAACCTGCCACCGCACTCCAGCCTGGGTGACAGAGTGAGACTCTGTCTCAAGAAAAATAAAAAACTGGGGAAGGATCGGCATACAAAGCCATTAACTTGGTTGTCTCCTGCCCTCTCTCTGGTCCCAGCTTGTGTGATCATGGCTGGGCTTGCTGGCCAAGTCTGTTATTCCAGGTGACAAGAAGGCCTTTTCAGGGCAAGAGTGACCTGCAGCCACCCATGGTCGACAAGGCCAAGCAGTTCTGGTGCAGCTGGAGATCAAAATGGTGATGGGGACAGCCCTGTCATCTTTACAGGGAACCTCACGTGGCAGGTGGGCAGCAAGCTGGCCTCTCCGCATCGCTGAGCCATCTGCTGAGTGACCAGGCCCACGTGACAGGTAGGAGATGAGACCTCTTGTGCCCCGTCTCCTCCGTGACCAGGCTAGGGTGTGGGCCAAATGCCTCCTGATGGTCCTCATCCCACCAGCCTCTCAGTATCAACATCCCATCTAAGGACAGACGCAGGCTCAGCATGGGCCCCCAGAACCTCCCAAAACCTCCAACTGCCCCCACAAACCTTCAAATAGCAGATTTTGGGTCCCCTCCTTGCCTGGGGTTGGGGGTGTTGGTCCCTGGGGGCTGACCCTTTCACCTGCCTGCTCTCTGTCCCTGCAGCACTGCTGGAAAGGAAGGAGGAAGATGGACAGGGGGTGGCCACTCTGGGTGCCAAGCTCTTCGTGCCAGCCTGGCAGGGCTGCATGCCCTTGGCCTGCTGCAGCAGCGGGGCCGGCTCTGGACCAACTCCCTGAGGATCCAGTACAGCCTCCTGGGTAAGGCACCGCATGCCTGGCTGCAGGGCAGGTGGAGGTGACAGAGCCTGCCCTGTTTCCTGTGACTGTGGCTCTGTGAGCAAAGATAGGCTGTCATCACAGGATTTTCCATTAGTCATTCTGTGGGCTCTGAGTAGGACTTAGTATCTGCTCATTAAAAAAAAAAAAAAGGTGTGTCTGTTGAGGGGATATTGATCCATCTCTTAAGACCTCTCCATGGACAGGTTCCAATGGAATGACAGGTGAAGCAGAGCATAGGGCTGGGAGGACACGGCTGAAGCCAGGCTGGGCTAGGCCCTCCTCCTCTTGGAGCCCTGGTGGAGGGCTGCCTGGCAGAGGAGGGCAGGGGTCCCTTAATCGATCCTCACAGCTCAGGCAAAGCAGCCAGCACACCATGCGACACTAGCCAGAGGCTGCAGACAGAGGGCGGCTCAGACAGTGCCTATAGACTGGAGCTGGGCCACGAGCTCCACTGCACACAGATCCCGGCCTTCAGCCACAAGGTGGGTGCCCAGGCCAGGTGGGACATCGAGAGAGAACACCACAGTCTGGCAAGTGGTGATCCGAGTACCCTGAGCTCACCCCTAAAGAGATGAACTTGCTCCCAATAGCATAGCCATATAGGATGGATCCAGGGCGGCACTTCAGCCTCAATCTTATGTCTATTCATCCAGGGTTGCTTCAGCCCAGGAGGCAGAGGTTGCAATGAGCCAAGATGGTGCCACTGTACTCCAGCCTGGGCAACAGAGTGAGATCTTAGATCTTGTCTCTAAAATAAACCAATAATAAATTTAAAAAAAAAAAAAAACAAGACCAGATGCAGTGGCTCACGCTTGTAATTCTAGCATTTTGGGAGGCTGAGGCAGGTGGATCATGAGGTCAGGAGTTCAAGACCAGCCTGCCCAACATGGTGAAACCCCACATCTACTAAAAATACAAAAATTAGCCAGGCGTAGTGGTGGGTGCTTGTAATCCCAGCTTCTCTAGAGGCTGAGTCAGGAGAATCACTTGAACTGGAGGCGAGCTATGGGAAGCACTGGGACGAGAGCAGCCACAAATGGCATCTGTATCAGCCAGACCTTCAAGAGTGACTCGGGGCCCTCCCTGAGCAATCGCTTCATGGAGGTAAGCCTGGCCACTGCAGCAGAGCCGTGCCCCATGAGTCCAGTTTGGATGGCAGGAGCTAGGGAACCCCTCATGGCCCTCTGGCCCTGGCTGCAAGGATGCAGACAGCTCAAACTCAGCCTTGGTGACTTTCCCTTTTGCATCTCCAGCCCCATATCCCCAGGGGTGAGAAACACTTGTCACAGTGCCAAGGACTGGAAGGAGGGCTTGGGAAACACAGATTTCCAACCGTAAAAATGCATTTTGGAAACAGCAGTTCGCTTTTAGTTTTTCCCGGAGTGGGGGTTCTTTTGCTGAGTTAGGAATCATGGTGTGCTCAGCAGCTGAACAGGCAGTGGTTCTTCTACAGCATGCATTTAACTTTGTACATTTTTTTTTTTTCCTTTTCATATCCAGTCCTGAAAATGGTGGTGGTTCCTTTTTTTTTTTTTTTTTTTTAATTTGAGATGGAGCCTTGATCTGTCACCAGGCTGGAGTGCCGTGGCACGACCTAGGCTTACTGCCTCCCATATTCAAGTGATTCTCCTGCCTCAGCCCCCCACGTAGCTGAGATTACAGGCATGCACAATGCCTGGCTCATTTTTGTATTTTTAGTAGAGATAGGGTTTCACCAGTTTGGCCAGGATGGTCTTGATCTCTTGGCCTCGTGATCCACCGGCCTCAGCCTCCCAAAGTGCTGGGATTATAAGTGTGAGCTACCGCGCCTGGCCTAATGTTCATTTTTTTTGTGGGTTGCTGTCTCATTCTTACAAGGTCTCCAAGCTAATATCTCTTATGCCTGCTGCCTCAGTTTCTTCAGTCCTCCACCTGCTTTCTTTTGAGTGTACAGCCTTGTTTCTGTGAAGCTCACTGCCACAGGGTCCCTTTCTAGTTCCACAATGAGCGCTTTGTGGCTGTGTGGTTGTTAAATGCTCACAGTGGCTGCCCTGACTGCCCTCCTGGCAGGACTAGGAACTTCTGGCCTCTCCACCATCCTGGGCTAACACCCTGCCCAATGCCAGGGTAGGCATCCCTCTGGCTGTTGAATGTCACCTCCGTATCTTCTCTGCTGTGCCAGAGTCCCATGGCCACCCACAGGGCAGTGAATTTGGAAGAGTCCTGTTCGTGGCTGTCATTGACTACAGTGAGAGGAGGCAGGAGTGTTGGCGCAGGGAAGGGGCCAGGACAGAGTCTAGGGGACTCAGGGCCAGCACCCAGTGTCCTCTCCCAGTCCCTGCACCTTCACATGGGATGCACTTGGCTGTCCCAGCACTATGTCACCCAGGGTGTTCAGTGGGGCTGCCACATTGGCAGGTGCTGCTTGGCTCAGAGCATGCTGTCAGACTCCTAGGAGGCAAGCGGGGGTTCAGCATAAACCACATTTGTACAAACAGGTACGGAAAGCCTCATATCACTTTTAGGATTGGTGGGAACCCTCCCCCAATCCAAGTTCCCAGACAACCTGTGAGCAAGCCATGCAGAGGTGGCTCGGGTCTGCTGTGACAACTCGCCTGCAATCTCCAGTGCCTGCTGATCTATTTCTTTTCCTCCACTCCCCCTACCATCTTAATCCCAGGAACAGACCCTATATCTCCTCGAGGTCTGGGCTGGGCCTCTGAATTGCCCAGAGGCCTCATAGTGGGTGGTGGCTGCCCATTGAAAGGCCCCTGACCACAATGAAGGATGGCTATCTGGAGGTGATGCTGCAGCCCCTGGAGGATGTTTGGCAGGAGCGGGCAGAGGAGGCCATGTAGTGGCTGCAGGCCTGGGAACCCGGGATGCCAGGCAACCAGGGTCCCAGGCCCATCAGGGCAGCCCTGGGGGCCGTGAAAGTCACCCTGGAGCTGATGAGTGAGAGCAAGGATAGGGCATGGCTGGCAGTTGAGGATGGCTGAGACAGCTCTCTGTCCCCTTCCTCTCCAGGTGGCCCACCAGATGCTGTCCTGGGCTGAGGCCACGTTCTCACGGGCACTGAAGAGGCTCTGCAAACCCCTGCTGGACCTGTATGACCTTGTAACCAGGTAACAGGGTTGGGAGTGGCGCATCCAGCGTTCCTGCCACGTATCAGGCGCAATGCTGAATGCTTCGACATGCTCTGACTCACTGACTACTGACTGCCCTGCACAGAGGCTTCTTCACTCCCCATTTCACAGGAGAGGAAGCTAGGGTTTCTTCCTCACTCCACAGAGACCTCATGAGCATGGTCCTAGAGCAGGCAGGATTTTAGGAGCTGCTGCAGAGGAGCACAGTGGGCAAGCCTGACCCTTGCCTTCAGGAAGCTCAGTTTCACTCAGGGACAGGTAGGAAGCCCAAAAAACCATCTGCAGCAGGGTGTGCACCGCTCCCTGCAGGGAGCCTCAGAGTCACCTCTTAAGCAGGTCATTCTGCTATGTCACATTTCCTTGCTTTTGTTTTGTAATCATCTTTTTTTTTTTTTTTGAGATGGAGTTTCGCTCTGTCTCAGTGGTGTCATCTCAGGTCATTGCAATCTCTGCCTCCTATGTTCAAGTGATTCTCCTGCCCCAGCCCTTCAAGTTGCTGGGACTACAGGTGTGTGCACTAATTGCACCTGGCTAATTTTTTGCATTTTTAGTAGAGGCAGAGTTTTGCCACTCCAGGCTGGTCTCAAACTCCTGACCTTCAGTGATGCAACCCCCTTGGCCTTTCAAAGTGTTGGGATTACAGGCATGAGGCACCAATCCTGGCCTGTTTTGTAATCTTTTAAACACATAAAAGCCCTTTTTTCTTGCAGGCCATGCAGAAGGCGGCCACTGCCCATCATTTACCACCACTGAGCCATATATTAGGTGGCAAATGCTAGAGAAAGAACATTGGTGAGATGGTGGGCTGGGGATCCAGTGGTGTGGCCATGGCCAGCTTTGAGGAGAAGGTACAGTTCGAGCAAGAGCCGTGGGTCCAGCGTGGGAACAGAGCTCCAGGTGGGGGCAGCACTGCACAGAGGGCTGGGAGAGGGATATGCCTGGCCTGTTTGTTTTTGAGATGGAGTCCCGTTTTCTGTCATCCAGGCTGGAGTGCTGTGGTGTGATTTCTCTCAAATTCAAGTAATTCTCCTGCCTCGGCCTCCCAAGTAGCTGGGATTACAGGCATTCACCACCATACCCGGCTAATTTTTGTATGTTTAGTACAGACGGGGTTTCACTATATTAGGCTGGTCTCAGAATCCTGGGCTCCAGAGACTCGGTGCTGGGATTACGGGCATGAGCCACCTTGCCTGGCCTGTTTGAATAGCAAGGTGGTAGGGCTGATGCAACTAGGGGCGACTGGGAGGTCCCAAGGCTGGGGGGCGAGGGGAGGACTCTGGCTTCTGCTCTGACCTAGGAAGGATGTGATCACCCTTTCACTTCCAAAGGCCCCTTTGGTCCCTGTGTTGAGAACATGGGGTGGTGGATAGAAGTGGGGAACCCAGACTAGATCAGGGGCCTGGGGACCCAATATCCTTTTCCCTCACAGCCATGAGGCCCACCAGGAACTGGGCTCCAGGCAAGGGTGCTGCCCCCTTCTTCCATGCTGGTGGCCTTGCAGAGCATGTGGACTCCGGCTCTGTCTCTTACTGGGATTCCTCTGCATCGGCTCTGTGTGCCTCAGTTTCCCCAGCTGTAGAATAGGGACTAAACCCGTATCATGGGGAAAAGGCTCCATGTAACACAAGTTCCTGCTCCTGCCACCTTGCGGTCAGAATGTAGGCTGAGGAAGGGACGAGCTCCCAGGGCGGGGCTTTGGCTTTGTTGAAGAATCACCTGCCTGGTTATTCGACTACCTGGTGAGTGGGATTTGGTGGGGGTGACAAAGAATGGATTCAACTGGCAGTGAGGACGTTGAAGCTGCTTCCTGCCCCCAGCTGCCTGCAGGGCCTCTGGGCTCCGGAGAAGGTAAGTGAGGCTACATGCTCCTCCCCCTCACCAGCCCATCAACAACAGAGTGAGCAATGTTCCTCTTCCCACTCCACCCCCATGTGAGCTGAGAGATCTCCCTGATCATTCACATCTCACAGGCTTGACCCTACTCTACATATTGAGAAAGTTCCAGTCCTCTCCTCAACTGTAGACATTTCCTAGACCTATTGGCTGGGCACAGTGGCTCAGGCCTGTAATCCCAGCACTTTGGGCAGATCACTTGAGGTCAGGAGATCGAGAGCAGCCTGGCCAACATGGTGAAACCCTGACCCTACTAAAAATTTAAAAATTAGCCTGGCATGGCAGTGAGTGCATGTAGTTTCAGCTACTCTGGAGGCTGAGACAAGAGAATCACTTAAACCCAGGAGGCAGAGGTCACAGGGAGTCGAGATCGTACCACTATACCAAGCTTGGGAAACAATGAGATTCTGCCTCAAAAAACTAAACAGTTTCCTACAACTTCCAGCTCCTGTCCTTGGCATCCCCACACACAGGCCCTGTGCTGCCCAAGACTCAGGGAACAGATCAGGCATGACATCAGACATCCGTGTCCTCAAAATCGGGCAGCTTGTTTCTGTCCTGGCCTCACTCCCACCTCCGCTGTCATGCCGGCCTCTGTCCTCCTCCACCTCAGTATGGGATTTCCTAGAACAAGGACAGCCCCTCCCTGAGAGACACCCCCATGCTTTCCATGGCAGAGCTCTTCTTGTGGACCTGTAACCTCCCCCTCTGCAGCCAGAAGCAAGGCTCAGCCAGGCACAGAGACTTGTCCTATGTGTTCCTTCTAGGAACTACTCAGTGGTGGTGATGTTGCCACTGCTGCCTCAGGGAATGAGCCCCTGGACATGGCCCGGGTGACCAGCTCTACCTGGTGGAGGAGAAGATGCTGCAGCCACTCCAAGAGTTCTCCAGAGCCAATGTGCTGGCCAAGTTCTACAAGCTCAGATGCCGCCTGCTGCAGGGTCCCTGGGAGTGTGAGTCGTCCCCGGGGCTGTGCGGCCCTCCTCCCTGGGAACCCCCTGCCCCATGGGCACAGCAGCAGGGTCATACAGGAGCAGGCACTGCCAGGGCACAGGAAAGCTGGCAGAGGCTCATGGCATCACAGTGCCAGGCCCAGAGCTTACTGGACTTCCCAAGGTCCAATGGGACTAGGGCTGAGGTGGCACATCCTGCTTTTCTCCAGATTATGAGGCCTGGCCCAGCAATGCAGCCAAGGGCAGTGCTGGGATGACCGACTCTGGGCTCCTGGGGAGCTTGCATGTGGCTCAGATGAGTCTGCTTACCTCTGTGGACTCAGCTTCCTCTACTGTGAAATGCAGGTAACCACATGGCTCACTCATATGGGTAAGGGGCGTGTACAGTTCTTAATGCACAAGGGAGCCCCTCATGTCCATGGAGGAGCCATGGTACCCAGGCTTGGCAAGGAGCAGTTTATCTGTGTGGAGCTCACACAGAGGCCTAGGGCTCCCTAGAAGCGTGGGTGTAGTCAGGTCTAAGCAGCACGCTGATCTTGTAGAAAACAGCCTGGTCTTTAAGTTCTGTGTGTGTGACCACGGGCTTCTCTGTGCCCCTCAGTTCTGACAGCTGACCACGGAGCTGGTAGTGCCTCCCTCGGGATGCTGGCCCTGGCCATCAGGTGTCTGGCTGTGCATGATGATTGGTGCTTTCCCGCCATGGGCACGAGCACCCCCAAGGCGCAGCTCAGGGGCTGCGCTGGCTGGACTGGTCAGACCTGCTCCTTCACAGGCCATCTCTTCCCTACCCTGAACAGGGCAGGTCTGCAGGACACCACTGTCATGTTTGAGGAAGCCGTTGGCCATCCACTTAAACAGTCAGTGATTTTTTCCCCCCAGTAGCTTCCTTGAGATTAAATGGATGACTTGTATGATTTTTTTTTTTTTTTTTTTTTAGACTAGGTCTCACTCTGGTTGGAGTGCAGTGGTGCGATCTTGGCTCACTGCACCCTTGACCTCCTGGGTTCAAGTGATCCTCCTGCCTCAGCCCTGCAAAGCACTGGGATGGCTTAGCACCACTGTGCCCAGCTGATGTGTGAATTTTAAGTGCATGATTCAGTGGCTTCTAGTGTATTCAGAGTTGTGCATGTCTCACCACAATCGATTTTAAAACATTTTTATCATCCTAAAGTGAAACACTGCAGTTACCAGTCTGCCTGCTGTGTCCATGGCTGTGCCTGCTCTGGACATCTGATACAAACAGAGGTATGACTGTGGCCTCTGAGCCAGGATTTGTTACTTAGCACAGCAGTTTTGTAGCGGGTCTCAGGACTCGATTTCTCGTTAGGGCTGAATTGGCTGTAGCCCTTCAGCTCATGTCATCCTGAAGCAGGGGGCCAGATCACTGGGCCTCTGGCTGCTGCACCAGGGGAGGGGGACTCCTGGCCTTAGGGCAGCTTAAACCAGGGCTCTAGGCATTGGGGTGCCCAGCAGGCATTGTGCTCCCACTGCGGTGGGTGGAGCTGGCTCCACTCACACTGCCTTTGGGGCTGCTTCTCCCCAGACCATGATCTGGTGGCCAGGGCCCAGCACGTGACTTTCGACGGCCGAGTGTGGGACCTCAGCATCCAGTGCGGCAGCATCCTGCTGACCCAAGACTTTGCTCAACAACACATTCTCCCTGTTGCTGAGTCGGACAGGCTCGGGGCTCATGGCCCTGACTACGGAGCTCAACCACATGAACCTTATCTTCTACCCCAGCCTGCAGGGGAGGAGGAGAGTCCTGAATCTCCCCTGGAGACCTGTGCCTGTGGCAGGCTGCCTGGGGTTACAGCCTTTTCAAGCTTTTCCCCTGTCTGTGGGTCAGCCCTCCTGCCCACCCCTCTGGCCCACAGGCCTACAGGCTATACAACTCCTCCCTGCTGGGGGAAAGCTGTCCAGACCTACAGCTGCCTCCTTCCATGGCAAGGAGCAATGTCTCCAGGATTGAGCTGGCCAGTGAGGATGAGGTCTCCATCTCCTGGGACATGCCCACCAGCCTCTGTGGCCTGACTCTGGGCCTCTGGCACCACAGTGAGTCTGGGCCCCTGTGGGGTTGGCCCCACCACCAAGAGCCTCTTTGGGATGTATCATTCTCAGCTTCCAGTGCGACAGGTCCACAGGCTGTAGGCAGCAGCTGTGGTTGAGATGATGGCACTGAGGCCCAGGGCTTTCTGCTCCCATCCCTGGGATACATGGCTCCAGGGTGGAGTTGGCGCTTCTGTGGTCCTTCTGCCAAGGTACACAAAAGGGTGGGCCTGGATTCCAGCTGCTCGAGCTGAGGATGTGGAGAGGGGTCGGGGGGACACATGCTGTCCTTAGTCCCTGTGCTTTCTCTCCCTCTTCTGATGAGGGTTTGGAGCCAGAGCCCTGGGCTCCAGGAGTCCAGAGTGGAGGTGGCAGGATTCTACCAATCCTCGGTGTGCCTCAGGCTTGTCTCTCATACAGGTCCCCTGGGGGAGGATCACGGGCTCTCAGGACCTCCTCAGCTTCCCTCCTACCCACCAGCATATCCGTTGGCCTTCTGAGCACCAATGACAATGAAGCAGGCAATGATCTGATGTTGCTGGATGGCTCTGTGGCCCACAGCCTGGAGGAGCTCAGCCTGGCCTGGCAGGTGAGCAGCTGCACCTGCCCTTCCTCCCTCTGGCTGAGGCTCTTCAGGGCTGCTCGCTGCAGGGTCCCAGGAGAGGCAGATGGCTTGCTGGCTCTGCAGATGTCTTTGCAGGCCCAGTGTTGGGGGCAGTCCCCTGCTGAGGCCGATGTATGTGGGTGATCCAGATGGTCCAGCAGGAGGCCTGAGTCTTGTGTGTGTTCTGCCAGGTGGATGGTGACTGCAGAGCCACCGAGAAGACTCAGCCGACCTGCCCAGGACAGAGCCCCGCCCTGCCCGGCCTTCTTCCAGGACCCCCGCTCCAGATTGGAGAACTTCTGGGTGGTGAGTATAAGCCTGGCCCCTAGGGCACAGAAAGCCCTTTCCCCAGTCTACCCTGGGGAGTGGCATGGAGGAGAGGTCTAGGCTAGAGACAATGACTGGGTGGCCCTGATTTCAGGTGGACCCTGCACCATTCCTCAGCCTGTGTGTGCAGGACCCGGGAGCTCCAGCCTGCCTGCACTCTGGTGGCCACCTACATCCACCTGTGTGCCTGCAACTTTGGGCCCCTGGCCTCTCCTCCACAGTGTGATAAGATACCCCAGCTGGCTGGCACTCTGCCCCTTGGCTGGCGTCTGCCTTCCAGCTGGAGGAAAAATCCATCTCTCTCTCTTGCCAGGGAGAACAAATAATTGTCATTCAAGGAGCTAAGAGTCAAAACAAAACAGATACAGCTTGGATGTGTGTCCCCCTCCAAATCTCACGTTTGTTAGAGGGGGTACATCCCTCATGGATGGCTTAGCACCCTCTGTTTGGTGAAGCGTGAGTTCTTGCTCTATTAGTTCACATGAGAGCAGTGTGTTTATAAAGAGCCTGGCACCTCCTCTCTCTCTCTTTGCAACCCCTCCTGTTTCTGCTGTGATTGTAAGATTCTCAGGGCCTCACCGGAAGCCAAGCAGATGCTGGAGTTGTGCTTGTACAGCCTGTAGAAATGTGAGTCAATTATATCTCTTATTTATGAACTGTCCAGGCTGGAGTGTAGTGGCACAATTTTGCCTCATTTCAACTTCCATCTCCCAGGCTCAAGCAATACTCCTGCCTCAGCCTCTCAAAAATACAGTCAGGTATTTTTGTAGAGATGGTGTTTTGCCATGTTGGCCAGGCTGGTCTCAAACTCCTGACCTCAAGTGACCCACCTGCCTTGGCCTTCCAAAGTGCTGGGATTACATGCATGAGCCACTGTGCCTGACCCAATAACTCACTTTCAATAATGTATACAACACCCAGACAGAAGATCAAGAAGGAAACAGAGGGCTTGAACAATACTATAGATGAATTGGACCTACCAGACATACACAGATGAGTTCCTCCAGCAGCAGAATACACATTCTTCAAAGTACATGTGGAATGTTCTCTGGGAAAGATCATATATTAGGCCTCAAGGCAAGATTTGATACATTTTAGAGGACTGAAATCATAATAGCAGAAAGAAAACTGGAATATTCACAAATTTATGGGAACTAAACAACATACTACAAAACTATGGATCAAAGAAAAATAATAAGGAAAATTAATATTTTGAGGCAAAACGTATCAAATCTTATAGGATGCAACAAAAGCAGTGCTATGCAGGAAATTTATAGCTGTACATGCTTACATTAAAGAAAGCTGGCCAGGGGTGATGGCTCACACCTGTAATCCCAGCACTTTGGAAGGCTGGGGCAGGCAGATAATTTCATGTCAGGATTTCAAGACCAGCTCAGCTAACATGGTGAAACCCCGTCTCTACTAAAAACATAAAAATTAGCCAGGCATGGTGGCAAGCACCTGTAATCCCAGCTACTTGGGAGGCTGAGACAGCAGAATCACTTGAACCTATGAGGAGGAGGTTGCAGTGGGCAGAGATTGCACCACTGCACCCCAGCCTAGGTGACACAGCTAGACTCCATTTCCCCTAATGGCCCCCACTCCCCAAAACACACACACAAAAAGCAGCAGCAAGCAGGCATAGTGACACTGCTTTATAATCCCAGCTACCTGGAAGGAAGGCTGAGGCCAGGAGATTGCTTGAGCCCAGGAGTTTGAGACTAACTCAGCAAATGGCAAGACCCTCTGTCAAATAAAAGAAAAAGGAAAAGCTCTCAAACTAAATCCTAACTTTGTACCTTAAATTTTAGCAAAAGGAGAACAGCCTAAACCCAAAACTAGGAGAAGGAAGGAAATAATAAAAGGTAGAACAGAAATAAATGAAATAGAAGATGGAAAAACTAACCAATA